GCGGAAGAGGGTGTGTAAAATATGATGGGGATGATGTAAATTTATGGTTGGGGGGATGGGGGGGGGGAGTGGAGGGGGGATGGAGGGGGGATGGAGGGGAGGAGGAAGGGGATGGGGGGAATGGGGAGGAGGGGGGGGGTGGGGAGGGGGAGGGGAGTGTGATCATGATCATGGATAAGCTATTGGTGGGGGAGGGGGGGGTTGGCGGGAAGAGGGTGTGTAAAATATGATGGGGATATTGTAAATATAGGGTTGGGGGGATGGGGGGGGGGGGATGGAGGGAGATAGGGAGGAGGAGGGGATAGGGACAATGAGTACAAGTGGAGAGTAAGAACATGGATAAGGCCACCGATGGAGGGGAGGATGGGGGATGGGCGTGGGGACGGGGAGGGGGATGGGGGCTTTGGCAGCAATTGGTATTTCTAAGGTTGTGGGAGGGACTACGATTATGGACGGGTGTATGGGCATGGATGGGGCGGCAGATGAGACAATAGATGGCGATGCTTGGCCAGCAAAGGAGAGGCTTTGTAGGAGAATAGGGCCGTAGTTGAGTGCGTATGACGGTGGTCGAGCAGGGACTTGGACTCGATGACATTGTTGGCTATGCGGTAGTGGTAGTGGGCCGGTTAGGGTTGGACAGATCATGACGCGGATGTCGAACAAGCAAGCCAACAGCTCACTAGTGTACACCCATCGCAGCAAGCCATGTTCACATGCCAGCCATCGCCCGCATTCATGTGGTATGCCCCCGCTCGTCAATGTCCCCACGTAATGTCTCGCATCGAAGAGCATCAAACGAGCAAGCCCCTAGATGCCCCCCCTCAGACACATACAGAGCCACAGAAGACCCATCCCCTGTCATGGCTATCTGTGCCCACCGTGCCGCTGCTACACATAGCTCTTTGTATCAAGTGTGGAAGGCGGACGATGGCGGTACCCCTGCCGGCCGCCAGCCTCATATCCCCCCTCTCCCACCCACCCAGGGGACATCGGGGCAGAGAGGAGTAGAAGCACGACTTTGTCCATGCTTCTACCCCCTTACGAGTTTGGTTTACAAATGAATGCTTGTGAAGAGTGAGAGTGTGTGGCTGATGATCTGACACTGCATGTCGGCGAGGAAACGAGAATCGGTGATCAGGCGTCCGGCGGCGTCTGAGCTGGGACCGCGGCATCGGCAAGCGCAGCATCGCAGACAGCCTGGATTCCGCCGCAAATCTGGACAAGGGGAAAGAGAGGGATGTCCAGGCGCATGCGAAGGCTGGCCAGGTTGTGCTTGACCTCCTTGTTCTGCTTCATCAACGCCTTAATCTTGTAGTTCAGGCAGCGGCGGCGGCGGCGGACGCTCAGCCGCCAGAGGCCACGGACAAACTTGGTGACGTTGATCTCGTCCCCAGGATCGGCCTTGGGCAAGGCGTACCGAACGAGCAGAGCCGTGTGATCGGTGGTAAAGTAGGCGGTCCACTCGCCAAGGCGGTTCAGCGTTCCAGTCACCTTCGCCAAGTAGGTCCGGAGGCGGATGGTCAACCTGTTCACCGAGAGCATCACGGCGTTCATCTCGTTCTCTTCCTTGACCGTGAGCTTGCCGCGCTCGGAAATGGTGGCATAGGGATTGTTCACGTCCATCGTCGACAGCACACCGAGTCCCAACAACATCTCGAGCTTGAACGGATGGTACCACAGGGAGCCGTGGGTATGCGAGGTCAGCGGGCACAGGAGCTGAAGCAGCTGGTCGAAAGGGAGCACCCTGCCCTTGCCCTTGCTGGAGAGCTCCACCACCTCGAACGGGATAATATCATGCTTATCCGCACAATAGCTAATATGTAGGCAACCGATGACGTTGTCACATGTCAAGGTAGCCGTGGTAAGGATGACAGTGGCACCGGTCCGCTTGCTCGGCCGCTCGAGCTTCTCGTCGATGGGGTGTGATTCGCGCTTGCGCTTGCGGCGGCTCTTGGTCTCGGCCTTTGCCGCGCGGGTGGGCTTAGAGTCAGGGAAAAGGGTCATAGTCTGCCTATAACGCTTGGGATGCGTGCTGTCTATCTTTCCGTTGGCTGTGCGGTCAACGTGGAGATGAGTGTAAGGATGGTAGTGGCAAGCGCGGCCTTGGGAAAGTGCCGCCCTTTTTGGCAATCTCAGCTGTTCCGCCGCAACAGGTCGCCACAGATAGGGAAAACGGCGAAAGGGGCTCCATCTCAAGAAAGAAAACCTAGTATGTGGTACGCAATAGTGCGGACATGGCATTTGGAGTGGTCTCTCATGATGTAAGGCCGTGGACGGACAAGCCGCGCTTGTGTACCCTAAGCAAGCTCCGTGGCGAAGGTGTCGCAATCACCGGAAAAAGGCTATCGACACTTTTTTGGGGTGCGGGAGAGCTCCCCCATGCTACCAAAGACACGCCACAGACATGCTAGAGCCGTGAAACGTTGGAAGACAAGACAAACAGCTACGGGTCAACTGTTCACGAAGAGTGGCTGAGCATGCAGGAGTGCAGGCGTGTGCATCGGTAACTTCCGTGTGTGACTCTTGGGGAGCGACTTCTTTGGACGGATTAATGGACGATCAAGCGTGACGTCGAGCCTCGACGCACAATGGCCACGCTCGCACACATCATGGGGAGGAACAGAGTAGGGGGCACGTGCAAGGAGTGCAAGCAACCGCATTATGGCTGACCATGGGGTTACCAGTCTGATGTGGGTGTCTAGTCCGGGAAAACTCGCCCTTTGCGACGTATCTCTCCCAGTGTGCCCTCGCTACACCAGAGGCGATCTACTAGAGCCGAGGGCCACCCTCACACGCCCTACAGCTGATATGTGCACGCATCAGCCAACCATTACCTACTCTGTGTGGCCCTCTGTGTAGGATGGGTGTTCAAGAACCGCCCCTGCCAGAGAGACGTCTGGTCGCCGCCACCTAAGCCTTAAACCGAACCTGAATAGCGGCCACCTACTCGCTTACGTTCGTCTGGGCCGGCGGGTTTACATCAATCGACCCTATGTCCTTGATCGGCTTCAATCTGAGAGTTGGGCGGCGCGCTGAGTGGCCCGCTTCACAGTACGCTTGTTGGGCTTTTGCAGCTTGCGGCCGTAGCGGCCTCGGGCACGTCCCCGGCCCTTGCGCGGAGCGCTGCGGCGGGCGGCGGGATGGTTGCGGGCGGACGGATAGGTGGCGGCGAGGTCGATGATGGGCGTGGCCGGGTACGACGGCGCGGCACGGTCTGCGGGTGGGAGCCAGGTGGCTTGGTATGCGCCGTCGGGATCATAGGTGGCGGCTTGCTTAGCGACGTTGAAGTAGCGATCCGGGCGAGGATCGGCGCCGACGCCAGCGACATACGCCCAGTTGCCGTAGTTGAGAGCAACGTCATGATCGATGAGCTGGGCCTCGAACCAAGCAGCGCCACGGCGCCAGTCGACGCGCATGTTCTTCGTGAGGACCGAGGCCACAATCTGGCGGCCACGGTTGGACATGTAGCCCGTGGCGAGCAGCTCGCGCATGTTGGCGTCGACGAGCGGGATGCCCGTGGTGCCGGCGGCCCAGGCGGCAAAGGCCGCATCTGAGCCATCCCACGCCGCATTGGACACATCGGCGGGCCCGCGGGCGGCAAAGAGCGATCGACCGGCGCGGGCGGCGTAAAAGGTGAAGTAGTCGGCAAAGAGCAGCTCAAAGATGAGCCAGTACGTCGACTTGTTGGCGACGCGCTCGGCCTCGTAGCGGCGAACTTCGGATGCGACCTGGCGTGGGCTGATACAGCCGAGAGCGAGCCAGGGGCTGAGCTTGGACGAGTACTCGCCACCGAGCATGCCATTGCGGGTCTCCTTGTACCGCCGCAGCGCGTCGCCGTCCCACATCCACTCAGCGATTCTTGCCCACGCTCCGCTCTCGCCGCCCGGAAAGCCGTGGACAGCGCGCGAGTCGGCGGGCGGACGCTCGAGGCCAAGATCAGTCAGGCTCGGCAGCTTGCCGGGCTCGACGGCGTCCGGTAGCGGCGGCAACGACGTTGGGCGCGGGATGATCTCCCGCGGGACAGAGTGGGCCCGCTCGAGCGCCTTGCGGAAGGGAGTAAAGGTCGGCGGGAGGTCGGCGAGGGCAAACGGCAGATCGTCGCGATGGTGGAGGGTTCTGCCCCAGAACGACTTGACGGTGACCGCGTCCGGGAGCGCAGCTGCGAGCGCGGCCTCATCGTCGGCTTCCTCACTGCCTACCGCCTGGTGATAGACGACGACATCGGCAGCAAGCTCGTCGACCAGGCCGGCGATGACCTCGGCCGGCAGACCATGGCGGACGACCAGGTCCGAGCCGAGACCACGGAGCGCGGACCTGAGATCGGAGAGCGTGTCGAGGAGGAACCTAGCACGATGGCCGCTTGTCCGCGGCAAGCCCATCCATGACTCTGTGTACGTCCGGGGATGAAAGCAGTAGACAAAGACTGCGGCATCGTAGCACGTGTTGGCCACGTGGTCCATCGTCGCCGAGTCGGCCACCCGCAGATCGTTGCGGAGCCAGCAGACCGCCGTCCGCCCCGCCGTAGCCCTCGCCGCCGCCATACTCAGTCTCCGCACGCTCTGGATGATGCCTCGCCAACACGTCGACCTTTGTCGCGTGGTGGTCGACCAGTGGAGTGTGGTTGATGAGTGCAGCAGGGGGGATGGGCCTGCGGATGACGTGCGGATGCGGCGAACAATGAGTGAGTCACGTCAGCCGCTGAGGGCAGCCGCGATGATGATGGGTGATGGGTGATGGGTGATGGGTGATGGGTGATGGGGATGGGTGTGGTGGTGATGATGGGTATGGGTATGGGTGATGGGTGATGGGTGATGGGCATGGGTACGGGTGATGGGGATGGTGGCAACTACGACCGCCGTAGGACGGCAAGCACGCGGTCATGGCCCATCTCCAGCGCAGTAGTCACAGCATCACCACCACAGGCATCGACATCAACACGGCCATCGTCGATCAAGGCCGTCACAACGCCATCATGCCCGTTCAAGGCGGCCCAACGGAGGGCGACCGAGTCCCGGGCAGCAGGATCCACCCGGGCGTCAGCAAGTAGCAGGCGGACGACGTCAAGATGGCCATCAAAGGCGGCATCGACCAAGGCCTGCTGCTGCCTCGCACCCGGATCGCAACGGCCATCGTCAAGGAGCATGGCCACCACTGCGCTGTGACCGCCGCCAGCCGCATCTACCAGCGCCCACGTCGCCACGGGATCGACCCGGGCGTCCGCCAGGAGCAAGCTGACCACATCGGCGTGACCAGCCTTGGCCGCCTGCCGCAACGCTGCCTGCCCAGCTGCCGCAGGTGATGCCCGCCCATCTGCCAGTAGCATCGCTACCACCTCGGCGTGTCCGTTCCGCGCCGCCACCCGCAGCGCCACGCTCTGCATGGCCTCGGGCGCCGCCCCGTCGGCTCCGAGGAGCTCTTCCACCACTCGGACGGCTCCCCGAGCAGCTGCCAACCGGAGCGCCGCGTTGTTCCGTGCCCCAGCATGGCCTCGTCCCTCGGCAAGCCATGTCCGTACAACCTCTGTCGCACCTGCTGCGCTTGCCGCCACAAGGAAGTCATCGCAGACTCGCTCGTCATCGACTCGCCTGCCGAGCTCGACCGCCAGCTCGGCAGCCCCGACCGCAGCCGCGGCAACGGCAAGCGCCGTCGGTTGCAGCGGGAGAGCCTCGATCCATACCGGCGGATGCAGATGTGGCCAGAGTCGCTTGCGCACGTACATCGAGAGATGCATCTCCTCGCCGCCATCGTCAAGCGCCCGCACAAGATCGGCCCAGCCGCCGTCGTCGTCGTCGCCGCCGCAGTAGCCGTCCCTGTCCTCGCCGATCACGCTCGGATCAAATACGCACACCAGATCAAAGGTCCGTACCCGCCACCTCGACCTATGCCGCCGGTTGAGCGCGAGCCTCGCCCCGCGCCAGAGCCCGAGAGCCACGCAGCGATGAAAGCCTGCCAGCGAAGCCGCCCGCGCCTTGCCGTACTCGTCGCTCAGCAGCGCCGTGGCCAACCGTCGCGAGACACAGGCGAGCGAGATCACATCTGACGGGCCTAGCACCTCCACATCGTATGCCACATGATGCAGGAGCTCAACCGGGAGCGATTCGAGCGATGCTGCCGACATTGAGCGATAATCCGGCCGAGATGAATGTGCCGTGCTCACGCCCCCACCCATGCCCACGCCCACGCTCATGCCCGCGCATGCCCACGCACGCCCACCCACCCCCGCCCATCCCCGCCCACCCCAACAGCACATTGCCCACCATCACCATCACCATCCACCTGTCACCTGTGTTCGTCTCATCGGGTGCATGTGTGTAGTGTCTGGGTTTTGGGCCTCGATAAATTTTTTCTCGCCCTCTGACCACCCCCCACCCGCCACCCCCCACGCGTTGCGGAGACCATGCTCGGAATGACCCACGGGGGGGCATACGGCGAAGCGGTGGTGGCGGCGTAACTCCACTCTCGCATCCTTTGTAAGGGTATGCACAACATGGCTGTCATGGTATACCACATGTGTACACCCCCCCCCCTCCCCCCCCCTCCCCCCCCCCCTTCCAGGGCCAATGTGGTGGCCGTCACCATGGCCCTTGCCCCTCGCCGCCTGCCTGGTCTTGCCCAAGCCTCCTCCCCCCCTTCGCCCGCCGTCCGTCGGCCGGACTGATGCGCCCATCAACCGCCAGCCCACGACTCCCTCCTCCGGGGTGAAAATATTTTTCTCTTTTCCCCCCCCCCCCCACCACCGACACCCCCCATCCCCCCCCCCCCATCCCCCGCTTCCTTCCCCCTTAGCCCTCCGCTATTCTTCCTCTACACTCACTGCTCCCCCTCCCCCCCCTCCTCTGCTCCCCCTCCTCTTCTCTCTTGGTGCGTCTTGGTCGTCAGCTGAGCTTTGTTCGGGAAAAAATTTGGCTCTGTCTTTAGGGACCGGAAAAAAAATAGAAGAGAACAGGGAACATCTTTTTTCCCATCCTTCCGCTCTTCTGGCTTGCGGTCGATGACACAGTGTTCTGGAAAGATGAAGGTCATGGAGGCAAAGTGGATGCTGGTGGTGGTGTTGGTGTATCTGGCGGCGGTGGTGGTGTCGCCGGTTGCGGCAGACGCGCTGTTTGATCGCGAGTACTACTACGTCACCTTTGACAGCATTCGCAAGATCTCGCCGACGTCGCAGGGCGGGACTGAGATGGAGCGGACCCTTGGCCTGGCGTCGGTGCCGAACGGATCGGGCGGCAAGGGTCTCATCTTCCGGCCCGACTCGATCGGGTCGCTCAGCAACGCAACGTGCATCCTTTACAACTCGCTCGCGCTTCGGAACGTTGAGCTGAGCAAGACGTCGGTTGTGCTGGAGCCGCTTGGTGCGTCGTTTTCCGAAGTGACGACGGCAAACTTGGCTATGGATCCGTTTGGTAGTACGGCGTCGCCGCGGGTGTACCTCACCGCCACCCGCGACCTCTTTGCCTTTAGCGTCGACAACCTGGCCATGGCTGGTCGTGAAGTGGTTTTCTCGCGGGGCTCTGCGTTTGGGTCTGCGATTGGCGGTGGCTCTGGCGCGATCCACCACTTTACCAGCGACAACTACTACCGCATCGACCACAGCGGACAGACTTCGACCGAGACGCTTGTCCTCACCGGCGGCAACCCGGCGGTGTACGGTCCGTTTGCCTCGGCCACCTTGGCGACCAACATCGACTGTGCGGTCATGTCTGCCGACGGCAAGACCATTTACGTCTCTGCCCGGGGGTATATCACGGCTCTCCAGCTCGAGTCACAGACGTACGTGGAGGTGGCTGGCAAGCCGGACGAGCCCCCCATCATTGTCGACGGCCTCGGATCGGCGGCTCGGTTTGCCAGGATCAGGACCATGGCACTCGACCACGACAACCACCTCATTGTCAACGATGAGTGTATCGGCGGAAGCGTCTTTCGTCGAGTCAACCTGGCTACCGCCGAGGTGACGACGATCTGGGGAGACGTCGGCGATGCCTGCGAACTGCCGCGGCAATCGTCGACGTTGCAGAGGCAGTCCCAGCCGTGGTCGCGTTCTGCAGCTGGTGGCTATGGCTACATTCCGGATCGCAGCTCGAAGCAGGTAGAGAGCCCGCGGGTGGCGTTGTCGGGACCGGCTCGCCCGCCACCCACGACGTTTGAAGGGGAGACGGTGTATGCGATTCTCTCTGTGGCGCGGCGGCACTCTGACGAGGCAATGTACCCAGCGTACGTGCCTGTTCCGCCGCCTTCGTCGCCGCCGCCACCGCCGCCGGGGCCTCCGGTGGTGGTCCAGGGCTGCGTCAACTCGTGCGTGTACGGACCGGCAGGCGGAGTCGTCACCTTTGTGGGCACCGGCTTCAACGCGACGGTGAACGTGACGGTCAACGGAGTCTCGGTCTACCCGGCAGCAAGCAGCCGTGGCTCAGGGAGCGGCAGCGGGTCGCGGAGCCTGCTGCAGACGGGCGCGACGACAGGCTCGTCGACGCTGACCTTTGATCTCCCTGCCGGGCTTCCCGGCGGGTACCCAACCATTGTGGTGACGACGACGACCAACGCGACGGACGTCTCTGGCGTGGTGTTCATCGATGCGGCGGTGGCGTTCAACTGCACAGCGACCGGCTTGTGGTTCACCGGCACCGAGTGCCGGCCGTGCCCGACGGGCGCGGTCTGTCCTGGTGGCTCGCGGCTCTGGCCGCGGCTCGGGTACTGGTCGTACTCGGAGCTGACCCAGCCCGGGGCGTGCGCCATCCGCGAGGCGTGCTGCGGCGCTCTGGGCGAGATGCCTGAGGAGTGTCCGCTCTCACCGACGGCGCTTGCCGGCGGAGTGCGCAACACGCAGCAGTGTGACACCAGCGCCGGCTACACGGGCGAGTTCTGCGACTCGTGCATCACGCCGGCGTACTTTCGGGACGGCGGAGTCTGCCGGGTGTGCGACAAGGGCGACAAGGGCGAGCTTGCGCTGCTGGTCATCACGGCGCTGATCATGACCGGACTTGTCTTTCTTGGCATTGCCGTCCTCTCTGTGGCCAAGCTCTCTGCGGTCGTCGCAGGCCTCCTTGCCCTCCAGCAGGTGGTCTTTGTCGGGCGGCTGGCGTCGTCGCGGCTCAACTCGCAGACCGGGCGCGATCTCAACGCGCTCTTCCGCTCTCTCTCGTTTGTCCTCTTTGACGTCGAGTTTGTGCAGCCGGCGTGCTACTTCTCGGCCTCGATCGGCTTTGTGCAGGTCTTCTGGGGCACCCTTGCCCTCATTGGCATTGCCATTGTCGCCTTTCTCGTCGCCTCGGGCGTCTACGCCGTCGTCGGCTACCGGGTGCCCTCGCTCAAGTCGCTGTTCAAGAAAAAGTCCAAGGGCGAGGGCGGCGACGAGGCCAACGGCGAGTCGGCGACCTCGAGCCGGACCAGGACGAGCTCGTGCTCGTCGATGACCGATGACTACACGCTGACGTCGACGTCGTGGAGCGAGCAGCAGCAGCAGCAGGCGGGCACGATGACGACAACAACGTCGGGGCTCTCGGGCCGGTCGACGTCGGACCGGTCGGGAGTGTGGTCCGGGCCCGGGAGCGACGGCTCGCTCTCGTTCCGTGGGCATGCGCTCAACTCTGACTCTGGAGCAGACGAGATTGCGGCGTATCTTGTGGCGCACTCGTCGGTCCGTGCGCGGTACCTGCAGCGTGCGCCACTTGCGCTCATCATGCTGCTGACTGCGGTGTACTTTCAGCTGACGCTGCGGTGCGTGCAGGGCGTGTACTGCAAGCAGGTCAACTCGCAGAAGCGTCTTGCGATGGAGCTCTCGACGCTCTGCTACGAGGGCTCGCACAAGTCGACCGTCGTGGTCATCTGGATCCTCATTGTCGTCTACGTCGCCGGCTTCCCGCTCATCACCCTCTTCCTCATGACGCGTGCGCTGCAGCGCGGGGCGCTGGCGGCGCTCAAGGCAGGACCCTTTGCCTTTCTCACCCGCGGCCTCCATGTCCGCTACTTCTGGTTCCGGCTCCTGGCGCTGGGCATCAACCTCGTCCTCGTCCTCCAGACCACCCTCTCGGACGAGCCGGCGGTCAAGATCTTTGCCGCCGGCATGTCGTTCCTGGCCAACACGGTGGTGGTCATCTTTGTGTGGCCGTTCAAGGTCGAGGCCAACAACTGGGTCCAGATCGCGGTTGGCCTTGCCGCTGCCATCCAGCTGGTCTTCTTCCTTGACGCCGACGCCCTTGCTGGCGAGACGGCCGAGCAGGAGGCCTACCGCAACGCCCTCGCCATCACCATCGCCGCCGTCCTGCTGCTCGTCCTTGTTTGGCGGGTGTGGCGTAAGCGAGACAGCCTCTTCACCGGCTGCTGCGCAGACCACTCAGACCACGAGTACGAGGCCGACAGCATGTCCGTGGACGAGCGTGCCATTGCCGCCGCCGACTACCGCCGGCCGTCGACAACCTCGTTCGGCTCGTCGGCGACGACCACGGGCTCGACAGCGTCGACCACGGGCTCGACGGCGTCGTCAGACGACGGGTGGAACCATCTGCGGGAGACCATGGCGCTGCGCAAGATCGGCGACTCGGAGTGGGAGGCCGAGATGGAGGCGGAGCGCAAGCGGTACGGCAACGCAGTGCATGTGGTGGAGAAGGCGGCGGCGTCGCTCGCAGGCGTTATCGCTGGCGTGCCCGACGGCGAGTACTCGTACTCGTACGCGCCGACGTCGGCGTCGTCGTCGTCGGCAGCAAGCGATTCCTCACCTCACCCCCACACCCATCGTCACCGCCACCACCACCACCACCACCACCACCATGCCCATGCCCAGAACGCCATCTCCAGCGCGCTCAATGCCGCCGTCGCCCGCAACCGCGGCAATGAGTCGTCCGGCACCTCGGGCGCTGTCTCGGGCAATTCCGGGTAGAAGAGCCGTACCCACGACCTCGGCTCTGCGGGCAGCCTATGGACATACATACGTGCTTGGGAGCGAGGATGGGTAAGCCGGCGATGAGTGCCTGCGAGGTAAAGAGCCGTGCTTTATGGGTGCGGGCGGGAGTGGCTAGCGCGAGGCGTAGCGATGGGCGGCGACGGCGAGCGAGATTCGGCCGGCGGGCGGGTGGGAGCGGCCTTGGGCGGCGTAGTCTGCTGTGGCGAGGAGGGCGAGGCGGGCGGCAATGTCGCGCATGGAGGGACGTGCGGCCGGATCGGGCGCCCACGCTTCCGCCATGATGGCGCGGAGCTCGGGCGAGGCGATGGTGTCCGGGAGGACGGGTGGGGTGCGGCAGTCGGCGACGGCGGCGGCGACGGCGAGGACGTTGTGGCCGGCAAAGGCCTTGCGGCCGGTGAGCATCTCGTAGAGGATCGAGGCAAAGATAAAGACGTCCGCGGGCGCCGAGGAGAGGGACGACGACGCTGAGGAGGTGGGCACATCGCGTGCGGCGGCGGCGAGGGCGGCGGCGGCAGCGGCGGGGGCAAGGAGATCGGGAGCGGCGTAAGCCGGGTGCGGTACGGCGGCGAGGGCGCCGAGCTCTGCGCGGATGGGGCCGAGGCTAAAGTCGACTAGGTGCGCATCGACGGTATCGCCGGTGCGTGAGGCGACGAGGAGGATGTTGGCCGGGTGGAGCATGCCGTGGCCCGAGCCGTCGCCGAGAGCGGCGTGGAGGCGGGCGAGGGCGGTGGCGGTGGCGATGGCGACGGCGCGGACAATCGGCGGGGCGAGGGAGGCCGGGGCAGCGGTGGCGAGGGCGTCGGCGAGGGTGCCTGCCGGATAGCGCGGGTAGACGAGGGCGATGTGCGGCGGGTCGAGGCAGACGGCGAGCGGGCCGATGAGGGCTGGCGAGGCCTCGGCGACGAGGGCGGCGGTGGAGGCGGCAGCGACGATGCGGACAAGGGCCTCGGGCGCGTAGGCCTGGCGGCGGAGAACCTTGACGACCACGGCGATGTCGGCCCGGCCAAAGGGCTGGGCGTAGCGGCCGGGCGTGCTCGCGCCGCACGAGCCGGACCACCCGCGCCCGCGGCCCGAAGCCACCAGCGAGCGGATCAGGCCGCCGGGCACCCGCCACGGCAGCGGACGCAGTGCTGGGAGGCCTGCCACGCCGCCGACGGGGAAGCCGACCGAGAAGCCACCGGCGCTCTTGGCCCTCCCTCCACCGCCGAGGCAGATGCCCGTCGACGACGAGATGAGGCAGTGCGAGACGGCGTCCGACGGCAGCGAGAGATCGTCAGCGGCAGAGCCTGCCGTTGTCTCGGTCCGCGTCGATGCCAGCGGCGAGCCGCCCGGGTTCGCCTCGTTTGCCGCCACCAGCGAGGACGAGGACGAGGACGAGGGCGAGGACGAGGACGATGGCGACGAGGGCGGCGTGCGACGGGCCTGCTGCTCCTCGGCAGCAGACGACGAGGAAGCGGACGACGAGGCGGACGATGATGATGTTGATGACGACGATGACGACGATGACGACGATGACGACGACGACGACGGCGACGAGGAGGAGGAGGTGGACAGGCGGCGAGAGAGGACAGAGAGGTCCAGGCGGAGGTGGGCCCGGGTCGGAGCCGGGCAGAGGGCCGTGGTGGCCGAGCTTGAGCGGGCGATGGGGATGGCGGAGCGGGCGGCGGCGGCGGTGGTGGTGGCGGCGGCGAGCAGGTCCGAGGCGAGGGCGATGGGCTCGGTCAGGGGCGGGAGCTCGGACGACGGGTAGGACGACGAGGGCGTGAAGGACGACGGGCCACCGGCCGGCCCGCCAAAGGCGATGCGGAGAAAGGCACCGGCGGAGGAGGCGGCGAGGTCGGCGCGGGCGGAGACGAGCTCGGGGGCGACGGCCGAGGCTGGAGCGGCCGAGGGCCAGGGCAGGGCGCCTGAGAGGGCGACGTGGACAAAGAGGCCGCGGGCGGCGGCGAGGGCGATGAGCGGGAGCGGCGGGGCGGCGGCGCGCGAGGAGGCGGCGACGACCATCTGCTGCTGGACGAGGTATGCGTGGAGATGGACTGCCGGCTCGGCGGTGTCTGCGCCTGCGGCGTTGACGGCGGCGGTGAGGAGGGCGACAGCCGGGCGGCCAAAGAGGGCGGCCCAGGCGTCGGCGAGGAGGGCGAGGGCGGCGACGTGCGGATCGTAGCCGCGGCGGGCGGTGGTGCGGGCGCGGGCCGGCGGCCTGGGATCGCTGCTGGCGATGAGGACGGAGAGCGGCAGCTGTGCGCCGGTCACCTCGAGCAGCTCGCGGCCTGCGGTGAGGACGGCGACCGGATCGCAGCCGACGAGCGTCACCTGGCCCACCTCCCAGCCGGCGACGGCGAGCTGATACTTGGCGGCGACGGCGGCGACGGTGGCGTGGAAGGCGACGATGACGCCAGCGCCGTCGTGCGGCGAGGCCCGGAGCCAGGCTACGGCGTTGGCCACCGAGACCTGTGCGGCAACAACGGGGCGGCCAGCGCGGCGGCCGGCGAGGCGGGCGTTGGGGGAGGTGCGGGCGGAGACAGCAGCAGCAGCACCACCACCACCACTAGCGACATCGAGGGCGGCGGACGGCGGGAGCGGCGGCGGGGCGCGGGCGGCGAGGGCGCGGGCGGCGGCGGCGGCGGCGGCGACATCGATGCGGGCGACGGGCGCATGAGCCCAGAGGCGGGCGGCGAGGGCGGCGAGGTCGGCCATACCTGTGGCGGCGGCGTCGAGTGAGGGGCGAAGAAGGTCTGCGGCGGTGGCAAGGGCGACAGCTAGCGGGTGAGCGCCGCGATAGGGCTCGGCGCGTGAGCAGAGCTCCCAGAGGGTGATGCCGAGGGCGTAGGCGTCCGAGGCGGCGGTGACGGCGGGGGCGACGACGGCAGCGGTGACGGTGGGATCGGATGGGCAGAGGACGGTCTCAAGCAGCTCGGGCGCGGTCCAGTAGACGGCGCGGGCAAGGACGGGCGGGTGCGGGCCCGGGTCAGTGCCGAGGGCGGCAGTGGCGGTGGCATCGTCGGCGGCCAGCGTCGTCGACGACTTGGCGCTCCAGTCCATCACCGCCGAGAGGCCCGACCAGACGGTCTCCATCAGCGACGACGACTCGACCATGCCGGTCCCCACCGACCGCATCGAGGCCATGGACCGCGAGGTCTTGCCCACGGCGGCGGCCGAGGTGGTGAGCGAGCCCGAGAGGGCCGAGATGGACAAGGCCGGCGCGACCGAGTGCGAGTACGAGGCGACGGGGCGGTGGCGCGAGGGCGAAGGCGAGCGTGATCGTGATCGCGTGTGCGAGCGTGAGTGTGAGGACGGCGGCGGTGAGTGCGGCGAGTGCGACGAGGGCCGCTTCACCAACGCGGCGCGCATGTCGGCGGAGATGGCGGTGACGAGCGAGGCCTGGGCAAAGTCTGTGATGACGGGCGTCCAGTCGGTGCCAAAGTAGACGGCCGAGGAGGAGACGGCGCCATGGATGATGCCGCGGGCGTGGAGGAAGGCCAGGCCACGGGTGATGCCGGCGGCCCAGGCGAGGCGGAGGCTGTGCGGGAGCTTGAGCTGCGGCGAGTGGAGGGCGGCGTAGAGCGAGCCGCCGACCATCCGCGGGACGATGACTGCCGCCGGCGCCGTGAGCACGCCGTACACCGCCGCCACGTGCGGATGGTCGAGCTCGGCGAGCTTGGCCGCCTCGTGCCGAAAGTGGGTCAGCGGGCCGGCGCCGTCGAGCGCCGCGCCTGACGAGGCCGGGATGTGGACGATGGCCACAGCGCTCTCGCGCCAGCGCCCGGCGTAGACCCATCGCTGCGCGTGCCGGCAGATGAGGAGAGGCCCACCGAGCTCGACGTCGCCGAGCGCGATGACCACGTGCTCAGCGCCACCGCTCCGCGCCGAGTGCGCCACTGCCGCCCGCTTCCTCCGCATGCTGCAGTACCAACAGACGGCGGCGGCGGCAGCGATGAGCGCGAGGACCGAGAAGGCGGCCAGCGCGCCGATGGCCGACTTGGACAAGCTGGGAGTCTTGGAGGCCGGTGGTGACAAAGGCGGTGGCGGAGGTGGTGGTGGTGACGGCGTCGAGAGGTGGTCGGGCGGCGAGGTGCGTGGCGGCACGGCGTAGAGATCGGCAACGGCGGCACGCCATGACAGGCAGGCGACGGCGTCTGAGCTCCGCATGACCACGGGCTCGCTGGTGACGAGATCGGCGGCAGGCGAGAGGGCTTGGGAGGCGTCGAGGGTGTCGAGGGCGTCGAGGGCGTCGAGGGCGGCAGCAGGGTGCGGCGCGGCCGGGGCGACGGCCCAACCGATGCGGAGGCCTGTGACCGGGAGCGGGGCGGAGCAGCGGGCGGTACGGCAGCCGAGGGCGGCGAGGGAGAAGGCGGCGGCGGCGGGCGAGGGCGGGCGCGAGGCGAGGCTGGCGCCGCAGCGGATGGCGGCGGGCGCGGATGGTAGGCCGAGCGGCGCACCGGCGTTGAGCTTGATGGCTGCGGCGAGGACGGCGGCGATGCGCGGATCGGACGGTGGGATGCTGCCGGCCAGCAGCTGGCCGTACAGCTCCTCGCCGTGGGTGGCGAGGAGGAGGGCGTCGACGAGGAGTGACGAGTGGGCGTGGGCGGCGGCGGTGGGGTCAGCGCCGTCGATGCTGATGCAGGTGGCGACCGAGGGCGCGGCGGCGGTGCAGAGCGCGGCCAGATCGTCCCATGACGATGGGACGGCGAGGTTGAGAGCGTCGAGGAGGGCGGTGGAGACGAGGCAGGAGTCTGCGAGGGCAAAGGCAGGAACGGCATAGGTTGACAGATTAGACGAAAATGCCCGCGCGGCGTTGACCGGGAGCTCCGCGGAGCGCGCCGATGGCGGCCGAGGCACAGCAGGGAGAGGCCGAGGAGGCAGGGCCAGGGCAGTATGACCTGCAACAACAGCAACGAGATCCGGCTCCGGTAGTGTCTGCTGCAGCGGATGCTGCAAGTGGTAGGCGGCGAGGAGGGGATGAGCGGTGACGATCCATTTGGCTGACAGATTGTCTGGTAAATTGGCAATCATGTCAGCGACAGCGGGTGGCCACCGCGTCGGCTCAAGCGGCAAAGAGTGCAAGTGACGGCGAGTAAGCGAGGGCGAAGAGGCGGCGGCAAAGACGGCGAAAAAGACGACAAAAACCAAGAGGAGCACGGCTGGAGGAGCGCGCATGTGTATGCGCATTATTGACCTGAACATGTCTCAGTTTTTCGCCCCTTTTTCCGCCAGCGCGCCCAGCGTCCTGGCCAACTAGACGGGTGCTGGCTACGAGAGTCCAATGACCGGCGAACGGGTGGTTGGGTTGGCAGGGGGGTGATGGGGGGTGGGGGGTATGTAAAAAATTGTTTCACAACTTCGGCACTACCTGTCAACGTTACACCAGCTGGTCTACCATCTGTGCCGCCCTCGCGTAGCGGTGGCTGCTGTACAGCGCACGTGGCCACATGGACGTCATGAACGTCCTTGGCCGCCGCGAGGAGTTCAAAGTATTGTCCGAAGAGCCAGTGTTGCCGCGACTGCTACGAGTCGCTAACACTCGCGGCCGGCTGAGCGAAGCGAAGCGGCTGACACCTTACATAGCTAAGAGCTTCGATGGCGTCGACAGAGTCGGCTCCGATGGAGTGGGAACACACCCGCCCACCCTTTTGATGACGATGCGCTACGACGACGACGGGCGCCATCTGGGCGCCCTATTCTTACCTTGATCTCGTGTGCCCGCGAGCCATCGAACGGCGCTCACGTACACGCGGTTGACCGTGCTAACTGCGCTGCAACGTTATCAGCTACTCCAAATACGTTGCCCAAAAATTTGTGGGCTTTACCACTTCGTGAGCCGACAATCTATCTGCTGCCGCACGCCGTCTGGATTGCTTCAGACGACGTTGACGGACCAGTACGAAAACGAGCTCGGAGCCTGGAAGACGATGGCTGATGCTGCGGCACCTTTCGTCGGAACGGTGACGAGGCCAAAGGTGCCATCAGTCATCGAGCAGGTAGCGACGACAGCCGCGCTGCTCGCGTCCCAGGCAATGGGGCTGAGGCAGCCCGAGACGGAGCCGGGCAGCGAGCCGACCTGAGTGAGCGAGATCTGGTTTGAAAACGTCGCCTTGTACACTCCACCGTTCGCACCCAAGATGATGGTGCCCGTCGTCGTGTCGGGCGTGGGATGGGGAGGAGGTGCAGCGTGTGGGCGGTGCGGTTGACCAGATGGACACGCGGTTGCATTTGATCGCCGCAGAGCGGTCAGCAGGTTAGCGGAAGGCAAGGTGGTAGGTGGTCTGGCCGGCGGCAAAGGCGGCGAGCCAGGTGAGGAGATGCGGCGAGAGATGGGCGGTGGCGAGCGAGGCAATGGCCGGGCCCGGGCAGAAGCCGGCGATGGCCCAGCCGAGGCCGAAGAGGACCGAGCCGCCAATGAGGCGCGGGTTGAGATCAGAGGAGGTCGGCAGGTCGAGCGGGAGGGCCGGCGAGGTGACGGTGGAGCCGCGGGCGGTGAGGATGGGGAAGGCGACGAGATTAAAGGCGACGGCGCCGCCCATGACGAGGGCGAGGCTGGGATCCCAGCCGCCGGCGACGGCAGAGGGCGAGAGGAAGCCGAGGACCTTGAGCGGGTTGAGCATGCCGGCGAGGCCGAGGCCCGAGGCAAAGAGCATGCCCCATGCGCCCGCCATGAGCTTGTTGGCGAGCGGGGTGGCATCGGCCGGCCAGGCGAGGGCAGCGGCGGCGAGGACGGCGGCGACGGCGGGGGCGAGCGGCGAGGTCGAGGCGACGGCCGAGCCTGCGGCCGGGACGGCGACGGGCGAGGTCCATCCGAGGCCTGCCGTGATGGCGAGGGTGGCGGCGGCGGAGGACATGAAGGAGAGGACGGCGACGAGCGAGCGTGCCGACCAGCGCGGAAGGCCACACACGCCGTGGCCCGAGGTGCAGCCGGAGCCGATCTTGGTGCCGAGGCCGACGAGGAAGCCCGCGGCGGCGTAGGCGGCATTAGCTGTCAGCACGCCCGAGGCGGCGAGAGGAGCGACAGGGAGGGCGCCAGGGACAAGGGCCGGACCAAAGACGGCAGGCGCCAGGACAGCGAGGCCCGATCCGGCAGCAACCATGCCGGAGAGAAAGGCGAGTCGCCAGGTGCGGTTGGAGACATGCGTGTCGGGCGATGCTGACATGTAGGCGATGCCGGATACGCCGAGAATTTTCCCTTGGGTCGCCAGCAACAACGACGACGACGCGCCAATGGCCAAGCCGCCGGCGAGCGAGGCGAGCGGCGTGAAGAGCGGTGAGAGCAACATGTGCGGAATGAGTGGTGTCTTCGAACTGGCTTGAGACTTGCTTGGCTGCTGCAGACGCGTGTGCGTGCGGTGGAGGCGGCGACTGGCGTGTGAGCTGCCGTTGCGAGCGGGGTGGCAGGCCGAGCGGAGAAAAAGTTGACGGCCTTTTACGGAACAAAATGGCGTTTTCCTGTGAGTGGCCATAATGAGGCAATTGAGTGGGGCAATCAGCGGGTGAGATTGCGGTGATGCGGGCAAGGCGCGGTGCGTTTTACAGGGCGGAGCACTACAGCGAGGTCGACGAGGTTGAGGAGGGCGAGGAGGACGAGGAGGCGAGGAGGTAGGGGGCGACGACCGGGCGAGCGCGGCGCTGATCGACGGAGAGGGTGGTGTAGCCGGCGACGGAGCCGACGCACGATGGCGCGCCGCAGGAGCAGGTAAAGGGGTCTGCGAGAAAGGCCTCAGTGGTGTTGTAGTCAAAGGTGACGGCGGCGCCCGGAGCGAGGTCGACGGCGGCCGAGACGTCGACGACGTCGTCGACGACGGCAATGGTGGCCGACGCCGTCGGCGTGCAAGCGTGGTTCATGCACACCCACATCTCGTTTTCGAGATCGAGTGCGTTGACGTGGCCCTCCGGACCGACCTGGAGCGAGAACGTTGATGCGCTGGCCGTCATCCGCTCCGGGGCGAGCGGGATGCGGAAGAGAAGCTCTCCGGCGGGGAGGCCTTGGCCGGCAGGGACGCCATTCCGCGGCGGATGCTCCGCCACAAATTTTTGCCACTCTGTCGTCACCGCCACCCCACGCGTCCTCGTCACGCCCTCTGCCCCGTTGAACGCGTTCATGACGACCCGAAGTGCCGGGTGCGCCCATACGGCGGTCCGTGAGACCGGAAGGGCAAACATGTTGCAAGGTTAAAGAGAGGGACTATCACGGTGTATGTAGCTATATGTCAAATATCAAAATTGTTGATACGTTCGACGCACACTCACTGGCTTGGGGGGACAAGAATGAGAGTCTGTGGATCGTAGCCGAGGGACAGTGCGAGGGAGAGGGTGCGGGCGGGGATGGGGATGGGGATGTGGAAGGAGGGGGATGAGAAGGTGTGGTGGGTGCGGAGGGTGTGGTGGTGGGTGGTCGTGGTGGTGGAGTGTGGCGGGCGGAGTATGTTTGGCCGAGTAGCAGGACGGGCGGGGGGGCTTGCCCATGGGCTTGCCGGACTTGGAACGGGGGCTGGGGGGCTGGGGGGGGTGGGGCTGGTGGGGGGTGGGGGGGTGTGGAGTATATTTTTTTTTGCCTTCCCCTCCCTACATCCCCCCTTACACCGCCGTACACCCCTCCTGCACCATCCTAAACACCTCTACCATATTGCAATTGTTTGCGTGTGTGTCATGGTGTGTGTGTGTGTGTGTGTGTGTGTGTGTGTGTGTGTTGTGTGGTGGTGGTGGTGGGTGGGGTGGGGGGGGGTGGGGGGGGGGTCGTCGTTCGTGTGTGTGTGTGGTGTGTGTGTGTGTGTGTGTGTGTGTGTGTGTGTGTTGTGTGGTGGTGGTGGTGGTGGTGGTGGGGGGGGGGGGGTGGCGCTTTATCCGCCATGCCTGTCAAGCCGATCACAGTGAGGCATTGAGGGCATGGAACTCGAGGTCGTAGCAGGTGTCGGCGGCGGCGGCGGCACGGACGCGGCGCTCAAAGGCGCGCGAGCCACAGGTGACGACTTGGACGGCCCGGCCAGACTCAACCGAGGAGACAAAGTCGCTGATCTCGGCGCTGATTTCGGGCCGGCCGGCGTGGAGGCAGGTGCCAAGGGCCGGCGGGAGAAGGCAGGCCTCGTCAGCGCCCGGACGGGTGACAAAGACCTTGATCTCGATCCAGCCGGCGGCGGCGACTTCGGCGAGAAAGTCGGCAAACTCGGCAACGAGCTCGACATCGCGGACGATCCAGACGAGGAGCGAGCGGAGCTTGGGCGAGGGCAGGAGCGGGGTGTCGGTCTGGAGATGGAGACTCGACGGGGCAGCTGCCGACGTCGGCACGCCGCACGAGAGCGCCGAGCGGAGGACGGTGGAGATGACGCTCATGCCGACGCCGCCGGCGATCCACACCCGCGACATGTTGCCCACACAGAGCGAGCCGGGCAGCTGGCGCGAGCCGAGGCCCGGCGGGATGGAGATGTTGACGACCGGGTGGGACGAGGCGTCGTCGGCGAGCTCGGCAACGGCCGACGACCACGAGCCTGTGCGGGCAATGTAGAGGCAGAGCTGCGAGGCTGCGCGGGCGCGGCCGAGGTAGGGCACGGTGAACGGGTGGCGCTGGAGGCGGGCGACAGCCGGGACGTGGACAAAGGCGGTGGCGCCGAGCGGCGGGGCAGGTGCGTCCATGACGATCTTGACCACCGAGGCGCCGAGCGGCTCAAGGCGGGCAGGGCTGGGCGAGCCCGCCGCCCACCAGGCAGAGAGCCAGAACCAGGCATCGGCAGCTTTGTCGATGGCGTAGAAGACGAGGCCTGGGAGGGCAAAGGCCCAGGCGGACCACGAGTGGACGAGGATGAGGGCGATGAAGACGACGAGCAGCAGGTGCGAAGCGTAGAAGAGGTAGTACTTTGTCCGGCGGACATACGGGGTGGCGAGAAGAGCGATGACCGGGAGGATGCAGAGGCTGATCTTCATGGCATCGACGTTCCACGCGTTGATGGTCCGCCCGTAGTGGGTCGCGCCGTAGTCGGCCATGTTTGCCCGCAGCTTGCCGCTCTGCCGCCAACGGAGAACATAGAGCGTGGCGTGGAGGGCAGCGCCGAGGAGAAAGACCACCCCGCCCGAGCGATGGACCCAGAGGACGCGATCCCAGCTCGCGCCAAAGACCCAGAAGACGACCGAGGAGCGGCCGACCGGGAGGAGGACGAGGCCGAGGACGAGGTCAAGAACCGAGCCGAGAGCGGCGGCCCAGGCCTTGAGCGAGTCCATCTCGTCCTTGACCCTCACCTTTGGCTTGTTGTTTGGGCCCTGGATCGGGCCGACAGTCAAGGCTGTGGCGATCCACCACGCACAGAGTCCGGCGACCGAGAGGACGCCGATAAGCTCACCGAGGCTGAGCCATCTGCCCTTGGACCACAGCATGAGCCTGGGGCGGAGGAGGGCTCTGGCGAGATGACCTGAGACCTCTACGGCCATACCGAGGCAGAGCATGATGACGAGCCAGCCGTAGAAGGCGGTGACTTTGTGTGTGTTTGGATCCGTGCCAATGACATTAGTGGGATTGGACCACGCAGGACCACGGAATGAACCCCCGAATGCGGAACACGGCGGAGTGAAACAATAGCCTCCACCATCCAGTGTAGGATGCTTCTTGGATGTTGGCCGACCATTAGCTTGTGCGACTTGCGGAGAGACAGCCGTTGAGGCCACCAGGTAGCACACCATGACCGCAGCCACGTTGACCAGCATCCACCGCCATTGTGTCTTGGACGTCTGCTCACACATACCGACCACAAGTACTCTCACTCACCCACACACTCACTCTATCTCTATATATGTGTATGCCTGTGTCTCGTAAGATGTGGTCCCTTGCCTGTACCCCCTCGACCCGTTGCTGTGCTACAGTGCGGTGTGGGTGTGACTCATCTTGGGATCCCCCCCTGAGTCCTTCCTCCCTTTAAGCCAATTAGTCTGGTCGGCTCATGTCGCGTTGGCTATATTTTGGCCCTCAGCGCACATGTGACTTAGCGGAGGTGGCCGGGAAGGGGGAAGAGGGGGAGGGGGGGGGGAGAGGAGGAGGGCATGGTAGGGGGAGGGGGAGGAAGGAGGGGGTAGGGGTAGGTGGTGAGTGGTGTGTGGTGGGGGTATAGGTA